ATGATCGAGCAGATTAAGGAGATCCGGACTGGCAAGAACTGTGAGAGCCTGCGACACAAGGACTTCCCGACCTCTTACAACGAGGAGCGTATCTTCAGCATCCTCTACGGCGACTCCTACGATAGCCTCGACCTCATCGCCAACTCCCCCGAGGAGGCTAACATCTGGGTCACCGGCCTCAATGCTCTCATAGGTGCCTCCAAAGGTGAGTAGGAGACTTGTGTACGAGATAGTATCAAGGCTCATAACAGAAAGAACTCGTTGATAAATAAGTCACATGTGCAGCGCCTGGGTATTTCTTTGCGTCTTTATGTGTTGGTATTGTACAACATTATTGTGCTGCAAAGACCCAGTGTGAACCTCAAAGGGATGGCGACAGTGGGCAGCTCTCCTTTCATCTTTATTTCTCTGTTGATCTAGCTGTAAATACATGTAGGTAGTTGGGTGTTAATCTACCTACACTAGCTACTGTCTTTCTCTCTCTCTCTCTCTCTCTCTCTCTCTCTCTCTCTCTCTCTCTCTCTCTCTCTCTCTCTCTCTCTCTCTCTCTCTCTCTCTCTCTCTCTCTCTCTCTCTCTCTCTCTTGCTCGTTCGCTCGCTAGCACGCCCTCAGATTAGCCTCTTCTCCAGCCTCTCTCTATCTTTAAATCCAACCATCGACCCTTCCACCAGATAAGATCTTGGGTTCACCCCCACACACTTCCACACACGCTCAAGAACACACACACACACACACACACACACACACACACACACACACACACGCACACACACACACGAGCGCGCTCTCGCGCGCGAACACACACACACACGAACACACACCCACACCCGCACACACGCACACACATACCTGCATACACACACACACACACACACACACACACACACACACACACACACACACACACAAAGAGGGCAATGATTCCTCATACTAGAGACAGTGGCAATCAGAGCAAGAATGAACAAATTTAAACTCCTAGTACTGAGAGATTTCAACTATAAGGAGACTGACTGGCAACACTGAGATGCCACTTGAAGGACCAGAAACATTAAGAGGGAAGAATTTTCAAAGACAACATGGAATGTAAACAACTAAAGTGAGGAGAAGAGATGAACCAGTAAGACTTGACATGACTTTTACACAGAATAATACGAGAGGTGAGAATGACTTAAGGTGAAGCTTCAGATGCCAGCGATAGTGTGATACTAAGTCTTGATTACATACTGGAAACTGGAATGGAGAAAGATATAAAGTGAGTAAGAGGAAATGGGGGTAATGGAGGGAACTCGGTGATGGGCTGAGAAACATTCTGAAGGATGTGCGGTGCGAAAGAGAATTGTAGAGGAAAACTCTGCAAGAAATGATGGAGGTAATACAGTCAAGGTGCCTAAAGGCTAAGGAAACGTATGTACAATGTATATAGGAAAGGAACAATAGAAGCAGAGAAAACCTATGCTTCAAATAGGAATATTGAGAGATGAAGAAGAAGGGACAGGAAAGAAATATAGAGCAAATTAACAACGAGAAACAAGCAAGAAAACCGAGAAATAAGCAAGAGAACCAGAAACAAATATGCAAGAACAAGAGAGGAAGCTGAAAGACAATTTTAAAACTATATATAGCATTAAAAAACAAAACAGAACCACAGTTACTCCACAGTCACATAATAAACAGGACAATTGAAGTACCATGTGATACAGCTGAAAAAAACCAGGATGGGATGATGACGGAAAATGACATCGGAGTATGTAAAGGACCTGGCAAAAGATTCAGAGAAGTTTTAAATACAGACAAAATGGAGAGCTAATAACACATTATAGTCAGACTAGACTAACAGATGACAGAAAGAACAAGCACAACAAAAGAAGAGGTGATGAGATTAATAAGAGAACCGATATAGTTAAAGCAATGGAACCACATACCATATTCCCATGAGTGCTGAGAGACGGAATAGAACCACAATGTGACAGTATCTCCACTCAAGATAAATGCTAGAAAATTGGAATAGGCAAATGTGGTGACGCATATAAAAAAAGCGGGACAAACAAGAAACGTGGAATCACTGGTCGATATCTCCAACATTCATGCTATTAAAAGTTCTGGCGATGATAGTAGGTATAAACACTTGTGGCACTGTTGGCAGATGACGTTAAACTAACGAGAATAATAAGAACAGGAAAGGACAACGATGTACTCCAATGAGAACTCACAAACAAAGCTGTTTGTGAGTTGATAACTCCTACTGTGTGGGCGAAACGTTGTCAGTAAAGGATCGCATTATACTGCATTTGTACATATATGTCCATAGTGTTGGTATTTAAATCATTTATCTCCAAATGCAAGGTCAAGTGAACTGGATGTGAAGGCAGACCGGACACGGAGTATAGCATGGGCGGAGAGAAGCTGCAAGTATCAGAGAGAGAGAGAGAGAGAGAGAGAGAGAGAGAGAGAGAGAGAGAGAGAGAGAGAGAGAGAGAGAGAGAGAGAGAGAGAGAGAGAGAGAGAGAGAAATGGAGAGAACACCAAACACATCGCCAGAAATACGCATAAATCGTATAACGTCAGTGGCACATGCAATATTCACAAACATGAGAACAGCATTCAGCAGGAACTTGAATAAAGAATCCTTCAAATTTTTATAAATGACATATTCGTATGTTAAGCAAATCATCGAGTATGCAGCCCCCAGCATCGACCTCGCACTAACCACACTTCTGAATGGACTCTTTACCATGTATAGGTACAGTTAGTCATTGCTTGCCAGTGTGTGTGTTCCATCCTGGTATGAGGTGCCAGATAGGTGTTGGAGGCTATCTGCGCGCTACAAGGTGAAGTAAGAGGACCTGGATGAAGTTACCTTACCGATAGGGACAGATTAAACCATTAGACCTTCACCTGCCTCGGGCTGTGGTTGTGTTATAACTGTAGCAGAGAGAGTGTTCTCATACTCTCTCCAAACTTTATTAACTTTAACCGGTCCATGCACATTGTAAATTGTATTAATAATTTTACATACATTCTTGTGGTTGATATATTAAACCCAAGCTATCTTCTGATGTATACTTTATCTCTCATCTTTGATTGGTCTAGTGACTACGCTATAGAGCACAGCCATATGCTGCAGACCCAATGAAAGTATTTGTGCCTGGAATATAGGGCAAGAGGATACATGATTACGACGTACAAAATCTTAAAGGGGATTAGATAGTGCAGATACAGAGAATTTGATAGAAGAGGAAGAGAATCGAAGGGATACAGGAAGAAACTGAAAAAACAGTTGAGACATAAAAGGTATTTCATTAGTTTCAGAGTGGATGAAAAATGGAATTACTGAGATGAGACTGTAGTGGAGACCAAGTAAACACGCAGTTTCTAAACGCAGATATAATAAGGACCAAGAGGCATGAAATTAGTGGTGCCAAAAAAAATCATTCTAGGAGGTGGAGGCCAAGTACTGAGAATCGATCCTAGCAGACATAAATAAGTTATTTACAAATCGGTGAGTACACAAAGACAAAGACAGGATCTGTGACTCAAACCCTGCAACCACATATAGGTGAGTACACACACACACACACACACACACACACACACACACACACACACACACACACACACACACACACACACACACACACACACACACATACACACAATGAATTTTATTGGACTGTAAGAAGGCTTTTCACACAGTTCTGCACAGGAGATTAGTGCGAAAGCTAGAGGGACAGGCAGAAATAACTGGAAACGCACAGCGATGGATCAAAGAATACCTGACAGGAAGGAAACAACGAGTGTTGGTACATAACGAGGTGTTTGAGTGGGCGCCTGTGATGCGGGGATCCACAAGGGTCAGTCCTAGGGCAGGTGCTGTTTCTCGTATATGTGAATGACATGACGGAAGGAATAAATTCAGAGGTGTTCCTATTTGCAGACGATATGCAGATAATGCGAAGAATTCAAGTGGATAAATATAAGGTGAAACTACAAAGGAGTCCGAAGAGTCTGCAAGCCTAGTCTAACTACTGGCTCCTGGAGTTGAACCCCACCAAGTGCAAAGTCATGAGATTGGAGAAGGTCAAAGAAGACCGCAGACAGAGTATAAGCTAGGGAGACAAAGACTACAAAAACCACTAAAGGAAAAGGATGTTAGGGTGAGTATAACACCGAGCACATCTCCTGAGGCGAACATCAACCAAATAACTGCTTCACCATACGGGTGCCTGGCAAACCTGAGAATAGCGTCTTGACACTTGAGTGAGGAATCATTCAATCAAGACTCCGTACACCGTGTACGTCAGACCCACATCGGAGTATGCCGCACCAGCATGGAACCCACACCTGGTCAAGCACATCAAAAAAAGAGAGAACCTGCTAAGGTTTGCAAGATTAGTCCCGGAGCTAAGGGATGTGTCCTATAAGGAGAGGTTAAGGGAAATCAACCTGACGACATTAGAGCACAGGAAGGATAGAGAGGACATAACAACGACATATAAAATACAGAGAGGAATTGATATGGTGGATAGAAACAGGATGTTTCGGAGATGGATCACATCAACAAGGGGGTCACAACTGGAAGTCTCAAACGCAAATGAGTTACAGGGATGTTAGGAAGCATTTCATCAGACACGGAGTTGTCAGGAAAAGGAATAATCAGGAGACTGACGTAGTGGAGGCAGGATCCATACAAAGCTTTAAGAAGAGATATGACATAGTTCATGGAGTAGGGAGAGAGATTGAACCTAATAACGACCAGCGAAGAGGCGGGGCGCGCACTTTCACACACACACACACACACACACACACACACACACACACACCACAGAACTGCAGGAGGCCAAGAGAAGAATATGATGAGAGCAACAGAGCAATGATCGACACACTAGCCGAGGTGGCCAGGAGAGCACACATGGGGGGAGCAAAGTTACTAGTTATGAGTGATTTCAATCACAAGGAGATTGACTGGGAAAACCTGGAGCCCCATGGGGGGTCCCGAAACATGGAGAGCCAAGATGATGGATGTGGTACTGGAAAACCTCATGCATCAACATGTTAGAGACACTACCAGAGAGAGAGGAGAGGATGAACCAGCAAGGCTGGACCTTGTATTCACCATGAGTAGTTCGGACATCGAGGGTATCATGTATGAAAGGCCCCTGGGAGCTAGTGATCATGTGGTTCTGTGCTTCGACTACATAGTTGAG